TTTTAAAAAAAAAAAAAAAAAAAAAAAAAAAAAAAAAAAAAAAAAAAAAAAAAAAAAAAGAACTGCAACATTTCATAAAGTGAGAACCCTTTTAACTCAAGAAGACACACAACACAGTAGAAAAATGGGCAAAGAGCATGAAAAGGCAATTCAGAAAAATATAAACAGCCAATTATCAGAAGCTGTTTAATTTGTGAAAAAATGCAAATAAAAATTTTACCTGCAAAGAAATGTAGATGAATACAATGAAATATTTTTCTTCCATACAACAGGCAACATTAAAAACAAACAAAAAACAATATTCTATGTTATATGAGAGTTTAAAGCAACAGGTACTTTCATGCACTGTCGGTAGGGATATTAACTAGCACAGCCTGTTGGAGAGCTATTTCTTAGTAGCTATTTCTAAGTAAAATGTCATATCCTTTGACTCCGGAATTCTACTTGTAATGAGTTATCAAAAAATATATTCCTTTGATTACATAGAGATATATTTCTGGTTCACAGCAACACTAAAAGTTAGAAATGCCAAGTAAAGGGCCGGCCAGTGGCTCACTTGGGAGAGTGTGGTGCTCAACACCAAGGCCAAGGGTTTGGATCCGTATACAGGGATGGCTGGTTTGCTCACTTGGGAGAACGTGGTGCTGACAACACCAAGTCAAGGGTTAAGATCCCCTTACTGGTCATCTTTAAAAAAAAAATTTTTTTTTAAACAAACAAACAAACAAATAAATAAATATGCCAAATGAAAATTGGAAATAAAAAACAAAGACAAAAAACAATCCCCGGTCTAGTAATGAGACTGATGAACCAAACTGTGGTACACTCAGAGAGAGGATTACTATTAAGCTGTTTAAAAAAAAAAAAAAAAAATCTATTTATTTTATTTGTAGCATCATGAAAGATATCCTTGCCATGTTGAATGAAAGAAGAGAATTATGAAACACGTTTTAGATAACAGGACCAATTTTTTTTAAAAGGAATAAAATATATATGTACAGTTGTGTGCATGTAGCTGTGTATTTACTTTTTTTGTCCTTTTTTTGAGACCGGCCGCACCGCACTCAGCCAGTGAGCGCTGTGAGCGCATCGGTCATCCCTATATAGGATCCAAACCCGTGGCGGGAGCACTGCTGCGCTCCCAGCGCCGCACTCTCCCGAGTGTGCCACGGGCTCGGTCCAAGCTGTGTATTTACTTTTCAACAACTGCATACACACAGAAAGTTTGGACAGTATGCCCAAACTTTTAGTAGTGAGTTGCGTCCTGACTGGGAAGAAAGAAACTTCTACTTTTTACTTACAGCATATATATTTCTAAAACTTTAGTACAGATATTTCTTGCTTTTATTAAAAAGAAAAAGGAGAACTGGCCAGTTAGCTCACTTGTGAGAGTGTGGTGCTGAGAACAGCAAGGTCAAGGGTTTGTATCCCCAAACTGGCCAGCCAAAGAAAGGAGAGGAAAGCAAAAAAGGAGAGCATCGGCTGTATTTTTTCCCACCACGACTATCTTCCTCTGTTGATTTTCTAGGACTCTTTGCCTTGGCACACACGTTTACTTGAGAAAAGGCAAAAATACATAATGTACTGTGGGCCACAGAGATGACTTCATTCCAAAGTGAGGTCACTGGCTGTTGTTTTTCCAGTGCTTACCCCAAAAAGTGTGGCTGACATTGGGGCCTGTCTCTCATACGTTTCAAACCCAATTCCACCACCACTCAGGTAACATGAATATCACATTTAGTTTTGGGGCCCTAGCAATAAGGCCTTCAATTACCAAGAGAACTTTCAGAACAGTCCAAATGCTCGGCTTTTGCTGATTCTTTCATAAAACAGTAGTTGAATGTTACTGAGTTAAACTACTGAGGGGGAAAAAGACAAGGAAGATATAGTCCCTGCCCTCAACAATCTGGTCATGGCACAAGGCAGGATGACATAAATATTAAATCAAGGTGTAATGAACTAGGCCTTGGGAGTGCAGAGGACCTAAGGGGTGAGTTGCTACTGATGGGACCAGAAGTTTCTCTTGGAACAGGCCCTGAATGTAGACAGCTGGGGAAGAAGGATGGGCAGAGTGCATAAGCTAAGGCACAGAGGGCCAAGAGAGTGAACCACGTGTTTGCAGCCTGGCTAAAGCACAGGGCAGAGTGGACAGGGGGTGGGAGAACGGTGAAGGGAGATTTGCGTCAGATGGTGAGGGTCATTAATGTCATGAGAGATGCAGCTTTTGCTTTGCAGGCAGTTTTTGAAAGAAATGTCTGTAAAAGTGACAATTCTGTTTTCACCAGGAAGTATTTAAAAGAGAAGTTATTTTCTGCAAGTCAGAAATAGGAGACTCAAACAGTCTTAAATAATCCCTATTTAGAGAGACATAAGGGTCTGGATAAACAAGGGCTACTGACACATCTACAGAGGAAGATGAAAAAAGGCACAAATACCCTTTCCATCCTCTGCTGGAATTTGCAGGCACCGTTGTAACAAAATACAGTGCAGAATCTTAAAAGAAAATGCAATGCTTCATTGAATGCTCTTTTGATTACAGGATGGTCCACAGGTCCAAAACACAAGTATACAAGGAACATTAGCAAAGAAGTCATTTTTGAAGAAAGCTCTTAATATTAGACATGCTTATAAAATCCTCAGTACCTTTGCTGGATCTCTTTGATGTTTTCTTATTTCCTTCAGAGGTAATTTCAATTTCATCAGGATTACCACCTTCATCTTCAATTGCCTGAAGAGAAAAAGAAAAGTTGACCAAAAAGTCAGCACAGACTGACTTTCACAGAACCTTCAGGTGAGAAGGAAACTGTATAACAGCATATCATGTTGCTGCTCATCTGGAAATGCCCTCACCCCATCAGGGATACATCCTACCTCCTGGATTGTTCTCTCACTCTGCAGTGGAGTAAAGGCAAGGGCTCTGGATCACATGGACTCTGCCAGTTCTCAGCTGTGTGGTCTTAGGCAGGTTTACCTAATCGCTCTGACCCTGTTTTTTCCTCTGGAACGCGGGGCTAACAGCAGCAGTACTTATCTTGGAAGGGTGTTCTGAGGACTCTATTATCCATGTAAAGCAAACATTAAACTTATCTGGTTCATCCTATTGCTGGGCCCAACAGAACTCAAAAAGGGAAAGGCACAATCTCCAATTTCCTATGATTTTTACCATACAATGTGCTGTTTAACTCTCCAGTGGCCCCTTCCATGCCATGCCCATACTCTGTACTGTGTGACAGAATACTAACACACTCACTGGCTGAGTTCCTAACGTGTGTTACGTATGGGACCAGACATGACATGCATTACTTCATCCAATCATGGTCACATTCATCCATGACTGACTCTAAAGACCGTACTCTCAACCACTAGGTGACCCTGCCTTATCGGACATCGAATTATAAGGATTTCTTGGCTGGCCCTGCCTTCCATCTCAAGAATTTGTCATCACCTGAACAGTCCCCACACTCAGCACAGTGCCTTGGCACCAAGTAGGCATTCTGCAAATCAGTATCTAACATGTCAGTAATGACATCTCTAGAAACTGAGCTTCAAGTTTAATTTTACTGATAACTTTTTCTCCTTTAAAGTACTATCCCGTAAGCACAAGTTTCGATTAATTCCATTTTAAGTACTATGGCTTATTTGCAGTTTCAAGAGTTTCAAAAATTCTCAGCAGTTTCCCAGCTTGGTATCTCTGGGGGTTCCACACTTAACCTGTACTGATAGCAAAGAAAATTCCTCCTCTTCTTGGAAGCCAGAAGAAGGAATTTTGAGTTCTGTCCTGGAATCAAGGAAAAGCATAACCAGGAATTCCCTCACCCTCTTCCTGGGGACAACAGTTCTGAAACATCACCAGGAGAATAGAATTGCCCCAGGCAGGAGAAGTCCCATTTCACCCCTCAGTATGTCTCCCCTGGTTGCAGTGTTTATAGGATTATCTCCAGAATCACTATGTATTGGGTCATCCTTATAGGCCTTAACAAATTATACTGTGTATTCCCTGCATTTTTTGCCCTTCCTGGAAAAACAAACCAAGACAGGGACACCAACTGGATGACAGAGTGGGAGAGAATAAGATGATCAGTAATTCCAGAAGTGCTTGGGCAGGGTAGCAGATGGGCATATGGGCTGATGGTATTTATGTATCAAGACCACATCTCCCTAAAAAACTGAAAGGAGGAGAAGGAAGGAGAAACAGCTGTGTGCTCTGAGATAACAGTGATGGAAGACTGCAGTCTCAGCCAACAGCCTGATAGGAAGGCTCAATACCATCAAATCAGCTCTGCAGGCTTATGAACTGTCTAAGGGGAAGAAGGATAAAGCCCCTCAATTTGGCCTGGTTGAAGGGAGGACCTGGTAGCTAAGAACAGCGACTGTATCTCCCCAGCAGCCAATCCGCACCCTCCTTTCATTTTCTTCAGGTAAATGCCTAGATCAATGAACTTCCTGCCCCCTCTGAGTAAAGTTAGTATCCATAGTGAAAGAAACACAAGGTTCACTTTTTAAAAGGTCCAAGTATCTCTAGCAAGTCAAGTATTCACACTTGAGCCCGAGTTTCTTCATCAAGAAAACAGAAAAGAATTCCTACTTCCTCTTAGATAGCAATTACTAATAAAGCCCTATATTCGGTTGTTTGGGAGCCAGAAAAACGGGATAAGTCACCAGTCCCACCGTCTGCAGGGGCGGGGGTAGGTGGCCAGGCTGAGAGATTACATGGGAGAGGTCCCAAGACAAGAGCAGTTAGGTAGGAGAAAGGCAAAGAATGAAACCAACAGAAATAATATAAATATAGGGGAAGTCTAAAGGCATAACATTTACTTAACTCTGTGCATTTCAAAAGGATCTCTCAGAACACCCCAAGGTAGGAGTTAGAGCCCCCATCTACAAACGACAAACGATGGCAGAGAAGAAAAGTGAATTGTGATAGCAACCACCCACATGCGCCATGCAACACGTCACGCCTGTTCCACGCGACCTTATTTAATCCTAAAACCAAAGCCCTATCGTTGTCTTTTTACCGAAAAAGAAACAGACTGTTTAGGGGCTAAAGGTCTTCCATGCCCAACATCAGGCCACTGAGACCTGGCAGAGTCCTGAGTCCACACGGACTAACCTGGGGGAGCCTCTCAGTGACGTTCTGAGCTCTAAAGTCCTCCCCGAGCCTACCCATATTTTACATCTCTGATCGCTTTCGAAAACGCTTTTTCCTCCTGCCACCATACTGTTTACTTTTAAAAAAAATTTTGAATATTGACTTTGGGTGTTTATTTGCAAATTAACCCCCTACTGAACACCCGTCGCCTCCTAATGGGGCAGGGAGCATCTTCCCAGAAGACAGCCAGCACCGGCTCAGGAGTCGCACGGCCTGGGTTCAAATCCCGACGCCACCCGTCCCCGGCCGTATGACCTTGGCTCAGTCCCTTCGCCTCGCCTACGAGATGACGATTTCAGGGTTCCCCATCCAGTTTTGGAGACCGGATGAGACAACGAGCGGAGAGCGTCAGCGCAGCGGCCGATGTCACCCGCGCCTAGATGCCGAGGGCCGCCACGGTTTCTACCGTCTGCAGCCTGCTTCCGCCCTCCTCCCGCTCTAACGCGGCGCTGGGATTTGAACCCGGGCTAATGAGGCCTCCGAGCTCCCCCTGAGGCCTGGGAGGAGCCGGGTGACGCGAGAGCGCCAGGCCCAGGCAGGCCGCGAACGAGGCCGGGGGCGGACCACCGAGCCGGGGACCACCGTCGCGGCCCTGGGACCCCCCCCGACCCACGCTTTGCCCGGCCTTGGGGCCCCGGCTTCACCTTTTTCAGCCGCTCCATCAGAACGCTCTTGTTGCCGCTCGAGTCCAGATTCCGTTTTCTCAACTCCGCCCGCAGATCGATCACCCGCAGGTCGCTGAGGCGCCGCGTCCCGGTCTCCGACGAGGCGGAGCTCAGAGCCGCTGCGCCCCCTGCACCCGAATCTCCTAGCCCTGACAGAATCTCCGCCATTCCAGGGACCCTGGCTCGGCCGCTCACTCCACACAGACCCGAGCCGGTTTTATCTAAGCTCCTAGCACAAAATGGCGCCGCCTGAGAGGGAACAGCTCCAGCCGCCCCGGCGCGCCTCGCCTCTGCGCAGGCGCACCCGGCGCGGAGCCGAATAACCTGGTCGCATCTACACATGCGTCCTAAGAACCTGGGCGGGGAGGGGGGGCGGGGGGAAGGGAGAGGGGGAGGTGCACGCAGCCGTGTTGCGTCTCGAGGGTCTCCCGCCGCGAACGGCCGGGACACATGCGTGCTGCAGTTACGGCGCCTGCGCGTTGTAGCAGGAAACCTGGGGTTGGTCGACGCGCGAGCCGGCGTGCAGCTAAGAACGCCGGTGGCGGCAGCGCGCATGCGCGGCCGCAAAATGGGGCGGGAGGAAGCGAGTGCGTTTTCCTCTTAGGCGGCGCCATTTTGTAGTTAGAGCCGCTACAGCCGCCGGCGGTGTGGGGCTGAGTTGGTGGCGGAGAGTGGAAGCAAGGATGGCGGAGACTCTGGCAGGATCTGGCGAGTCTGGCCCTGGCACGGCCGCTCTCGTCTCGGGTGCCTTGGAGACCGGGACGCGGCGGCTTAGCGAGCTGCGGGTCATTGACCTGCGGGCGGAGCTGAAGAAGCGGAACCTGGACACCAGCGGCAATAAGAGCGTCCTGATGGAACGGCTCAAGAAGGTGAGGCAGCCCCGGACCTGGGGGTGGCGCAGGACGCCCGGGCACACCCCCGCGCGGGCCTGTCATTGCAATTCGGGGACTCAGGGCGCTCTCGGCCCGCCCCCCTCTTGAGCGACACCGGCCCAAGTCGGGCACCAAGAGACCCGGCTGTGTGTCCTTGGCCAGTTACCGCCCCTCTCTGTGCCTCGCTTCCTATTCTTCGAGCTTTTCGTCTCAAGTGCGCTAAAAGCTAGTCGTCTTGGCTACCAGGGTGGCCCCTGGACCCTTCCCGCGATCGAGACCTGACTCTGTGACCTTGGGCAGGTGTCTTCCCCTCCCTGCGCCTCAGTTTCCATCTCCGGAGAATGGGTATGCGAAAGAATGGGGCTGCGAAGTTACAGGCCGGGGGCGGTGCTTATTCCTGCCCCAGGACCTTTGCACTTACCATTCCTCCACCTGACTGCTGGTCTCCCAGGTCTTTTTTTGGCTGGCCTGTGTTGTCATTTTGGGGCTGAGATGACGCCTCCCTGATCACCCTCACTGAAGTACTGCTCCACCCACCTTATCATAGCCTGTGTTTACACTCCAATTTGCAGTGCTTAACACAGACTTGGGTTTGTGTCTGTGGATATTATCTCCCCAGCTGGAATAAGCTCCTTGAGGGTAGGGACTTTGTGAGTGCCCAGTCCTGTGCCAGGCAGGTGGGAAGCATTGAAATACCTGTTGAGTGAAACCACCCACCTCCCCACTTCCCAGGCTGTTTGCTGTTCCTTGTCACCAGAGGTTGAAGATGGCCTGTTGAGCCCCAGCCAGGCCTGGCCGAGTGCAGCCTCTGTTTTATTTGTTCGGTTGTGTAACTTTAGAAGGTCGGGCAGTGTTGAGATTAGTAGCCATTTGGAACTGATCATTGACCCCATCCCCAGCCCACAGTCTCCCTCTCCTTTGTCTTTTGGATGTTGGTCACAGAAAGAACTAATTTGTGCTGGGTTCATCCTGTGCCTTTTGGGCTTGCAGCCCAGAGAGCAGAAAAAGAGTTGCTCTTTGCAAGGTTGGGTTTGCTTTTGTTTACTGGGAAGTCGTTACTTACGAAGAACAGTGTGTGCAGGCAGCTTTTAATAACTTGTAAAAATTCATCCCTTCCTAATAGGCAGTTAAGGAAGAAGGGCAAGATCCTGATGAAATTGGCATTGAGTTAGAAGCTGCAAGCAAGAAAACAACAAAGAGATGTGTTAAAGGTATCTACTTGTGCTTACTTTATTTGGGGCGTGAGTGTTTAGAGAACTTAGAGAAATGGTTTTTAGCACTCTTCCTGTCCTCCAGACCAGAAAGAGAACTTCTCTGGCCTTCAGTGTCCCCCCTTCTAAAGAACTAGAGTAAGACACACTCTTAAGGCTGCCCCAACTAGTCTTAGCAACTAAGTGCACCTGCTTGCCTTCCTTCCTGGTTCAAAAGTAGGTCTTAAATCAAGGAAAATGACACCAACCTGAGACATAATAGAACCCAGCTTCTGTGAGGTCCAAAATAGTTTGGTGGGGTATTTGCACCCAGCCTGTGTTTTACCAGTATATTTTTTTAAAAATTAAAATATAATTCATGAACCATTAAATTCACTGGTTTAAAGGTGTACAATTCAGTGCTTTTTAGTATATTCACAAGGCTATTCAACTGTTACCACTATCACATTCTGGAACATTTTTATCACTTCAAAAGGAAATCCCATGCCCCTTAGCAGTCACTTTTTATCCCCAACCCGTGGCAGTCACTTTCTGTCTGTAGATTTGCCTATTCTGGACATTTCATGTTAGTGGAATCATACATCATGTGGCCTTTTGTGTCAGCTGCTTTCACTGAGCTTTATGTTTTCAAGGTTCCTCTGTGTTGTAGCATGTGTCAGTACTTCATGCCTTTTTATGGCTGATACCAGTGATTTTTTTGAAGCGTTTAATTCCATAAAACTTTGAAACTGAGACCCTTCTAATTAGCTATTGTGCTTGTTATTAAACTTTGCAGTGAGTGATAAGGACAATACAATTTGAGACTCCTGTGTGATTGGCTTGTTTTGAAAGGTGCCTGCCATATAAAAATTCTCACAGCTCTACACATTTATCTGAAGAAGTGCTAAGTTCAGCCAATGGAGGACAGTGGCTTAGAAAGTGAAAAATTAAGGGCCAGCCCATGGCTCACTTGGGAGAGTGTGGTGCTGATAACACCAGGGCCCCAGGTTCGGATCCCTGTATGTGAATGGCCGGTTAGCTCACTTGGGAGAGCATGGTGCTGACAGCACCAAGTCAAGGGTTAAGATCCCCTTACCCATCATAAAAAAAAAAAAAAAAAAAAAAAAAACCCGTCATCTTAAAAAAAAAAAAAGAAAGAAAGAAAGTGAAAAATTAAAATGTAGTATTTTCAACAATTACACTTTTTTTTTAAACAGCTTGTCCTGGAAGGACAATTTCTCTGTAACACATCTGTTTAAAACTTGTGCATGTGGTTTTTTTTGTTTGTTTGTTTGTTTTTTTAAGAGAGTCAGCACTAGGCTCTCCCAGGTGAGCTAACCGGCCATCCCTATATAGGGATCCGAACCCATGGCCTCCATGTTATCAGCACCACACTCTCCCAGGTGAACCACGGGCCGGCCCGTGCATGTGTTTTGAAAGGTTAAATTTTTTAGTTAAGTTATATAAGGGATTTAAGTTAAAATTTAATTTTGAAGTATTGATGTGTTTTTGCTGTTCTGTGACTGTCCGTATTTCAGGTAGAAACAATGTGAATAGATACAGAATGTGAGGAACTGGTCTACAGAGGGAACCGTGGAAATATCTCTTCTCCTTAGATGTTATCTGTGATCGGAAAGTCTGTTTTTGAATAGTTGTGAAAACATCTTAATACAGTTTAAAGTTTTTTGTTTTTTTTAATGTAGATGCTCATTTAAAACTGTGTGGTTCAAGACTTACTAAACAAAATGTCCTTGGCTCCTTACAGCGATCTTTGTATTATTAGAAAAACTAAACCTTAGCCAAGTTCTTCAGACACCTGTATGAATGTCTGATTAAAGCTTAGGTCAAATCAAAACTACTTGGAGTTAACATTTTGTCAGAAAAGCTCAGATGATAGTTATTTCCATTGGTATAAAGGGAATGTTTGTAGCCTCAAGAAGAGCTTCTGGTCCCTTTCCTTTTCCAGAGAAGTAGCCAAGCCCAGAAACAGGTGGCCCACATCCCCGGGCAGAGCTCAGTCTCTACAGGTCTCAGTCTTCTGTCTTTAGCTGGCTGTATACTCTGGAACTGTCTGGGTGTGCAGTTATGTAAAATGTTAGAACCTGACAAATTCATGGTTGAAAGTTGGTCCTTGTGATTACATAAAAGTGTTTGAGTTGGAGGAATTAACCAATTGTTTTCCAAATGCTATGCAACGTTCGGAATTCATTAGTAAAAGTAGCTAAACTTTCTGAGAAAACTTCCTCATTATCAATCGGAACAGGAGTCCTCTCCCAAACTAATCCAAGCAGGGAAATTGTGGGTGGGCTTTAAAAGATTAAAATTTTGAATGAGGCTGTACATGATATTAAAAATTGATTTTCCTGCATCCATGTCCCACGCCCTTTCAGCTTTTAGTCACCCAAGGCCAGGTGCTTGGGATTGGGGTGCCACCTGTCTACACAGCATTTGTCTATCTGTCCCATTCCGGCTTAGGAAGCTTTTTGGTGAAGCTTTTTAGTCTGCCTCTCTCCTATTTACATCCTGCGTGTGCACTGCAGGCAGCTATTTAGAAGCTTAGAAATTGGGTGTAATTGGCAAACATTTTTAGACAGCGTATTTCAAAAGGATATGCTGTGTTTAGATATAATGGGAAATGGGACAGCTGAATTTCTGAGTCCCAGCTTTGGAGCTGAACCAAATTCTCGTGTCAGGTGCAGATAATAAAACCTGCTAGGGTTGTCGAAGTGTTAAGTGATAAAATGTAAAGCTCACAGTGTCTGACATGTCATAAAACTACATGTCTTGAGTAATTATGATAATGGTGACTGAGATAACTAAGGTGTGGATCTGCAGATTGGAACTTTAATCAAAGATTGAGGCTTTTTCTATGTTTAATTTTGTTTTTAAAAATTATAAAGATACTTTTAGATAATTTGGAAAATGTAAAAAGTGTGCATGTGAAAATAAAACAATCTCTCATCTTACCACTGTTGATGATCGTCTTAGCCACATATGTTCTGTGTCATTAAATATTCCTTAAAGCATAATTCTTTAAGTCGTAAAATGTTATATGGTATTACACAGGGTTTCTCAACCTTGGCACTATTAACAGTTTGGGCTGAATAATTCTCTGCAGCAGGACAAGTATCCTGTGTACTGTAGAGTCAGCAGCATCTGTGCCACTCTCTTCTACATGCGGTTGCATCCCTCCTGGTCATGACAACCAGAACCCTCCAGATATT